GGGGAAGCCATGCTCCAGGGGCTGGGTGCAGAGAGCAGCGCTTTGCGGGACGGAGCCGTGTCCCCACTGGGGACGGCTGCTTCCCTAAGTGCCACGGAGAGCTGGGAAGAGATGGGAGCGCGGGAGGAGGAGATGCCCACCGTGCCGAGCCCAGAAGTGGTGGCCCAGGAAGAGGACATGAGTGGCCCTGGCCAGATAGGGACTGGCCAGGAAGAGCCAGAGCAAGGGGAGGACGAGACGGAGGCCCCAAGCACGGAGGCATCGCAACCCTCGGAGGATGAGGAAGAGAGGGAACCCGGCAGCCCCTGCGGGGAAGACAGTGATTTCCAGGGGGAAAAGATGGATGTGCGAGAAGGGGAGTCCCCGCAAAGGGAAGTCGAAGCTGCTCATGCTGTCCCTGTGGAAAGCCACCCAGTTTTGCCCACGGAAAGTCACCTGGAAGAGGACCTTGTTGATGGAGAGCAGGAAAAGTTTGAGCCTCGGGAAATGCCCGTGTGCGAGACGGATCTGGCTGCAGAGGAGGAAAGGGGGCAGGAGATGTGCCCTGAGCAGGAGCCGTTCCCTGAGCAGGAGATGTGCCCCGAGCAGGAGCCGTTCCCCGAGCAGGAGCCGTGCCCGGAGCAGGAGCCGTTCCCTGAGCAGGAGCCGTGCCCGGAGCAGGAGCCGTGCCCAGAGCAGGAGCCGTGCCCGGAGCAGGAGCCCTCGAGCATCCACGAGGCCATCCCAGCAGAAGAGGCTTCATTAGGGGCTGAAGAAGATGCTGTGAGAGGGGAGGACCCAGGCAGAGCAAAAGATGGTGAGGGAGAAATGGGAGAGGGCAGCGGGGAGGTGCTGGGAGGAGAAAACCCCCAGGCTGTGGGACCTGAAACCCCCGAGCAGGAGAGCGGAACCTGGGAGGAGCTCGGGGATCTGCAGGAAAATGGCTTTGCAGAAGAGGTGCTGGAGCAGGAGCTGGAGCCAGAGCCGGGAGAGGAGCCCTGGGGCAGGGGGGACGATGGCAGCAGCCAAAAGTCCCATCCAGAGGACTGGGAGGTGACAGCGGAGGACAGAGAGGGAGCTCTGGGGACAGAAGAGCCAGCCTGGGCAGATGAAACCCCGACAAGCACTGGAGGGCTGGAAAGCGAGGAGAGAGACGGCGTGTTGCCAGCAGAGCTGGAGGAAACACGGGAAGGCGATGAAGAAGATGCCGAGAGCCAACAGCAGCCACCGGTGGGGGCTGAGCCAGCCCCGGGGCTGGCGAGGGATGAGCAGGGCACTGCGGGGCAGCCTGCCTGGGCACCCATGGGTGCCCCCGGGAGAGGGGCCAGCCAGGAGCCATCCGAGGCTCCGGAGGAGTCATGGGAGGTGCAGGGTGAGGATGCTGACGAGGAGCTCGGCTCGGCCCTGGGAGAGCCGGAAAGCAGCGGCGCTGGCCCCGTGGCGCTTCGGGAGGTGCTGGGTGCCGGCACGGAGAGTGGTGAGTGGGTGGAGGAGGATGCTGGGCGATGGGGAGAGCTGGAGCAGGCAGCGGAGACGGGCAGGAGGGTGGAGCTGGAGGACACGCTGCCCGACAGCACGCCCTTACACCTCTACGAAGGGGAGATGCTGGCTGTGGTCGCACCCAGCCAAAACCCTCCGGAGACTGAGGAGACCACAGAGACAGCCCCTGCATCTGAAAGAGCTCCAGAGGCTGAGGGATGGCTGGAAGGGAGGGACAAGCCACCAACTCCCACCGTGCCAGAGAGCTGCGAAGAGGAGGCAGGGCCGGAGACAGCGGCAGAGGGTGCTGAGGAGGAGGAAGGCTATTTCATGGTCTCTGCTCCCAACCAAGAAGTCTCCAGCTCGGAGGAAGCTGAGATCACCGAGGACTTTGAAGAAATTAAAGTTGAAGCAACCCAAGCCAGCAAAGATGACCTGGATACCGCTGGAGAAGTGTCTCCGGTGCCCGAGGATGAAGGGCACTTCGAGGCGTTTGTTGGTGAGGCAGATGAAGACTTGATGGTGCCCACGGAAGAACCTGAGATGCCAAAGGATGAGGATGAGGATGATGCTGGGAGTTTTACTGCTGAGCTGGAGGAAGGTCCAGCTGCACCCGAGGCAGACCCCGGCTCCCCCGGGGCCTCGGGGCCGTTAGCAGGAGGCGCTGACGAGCCAGCCCGGGGGGCTGCCAGCCCCGGGGCACATGAGGGCTCGCCTGCCAAATTGGTCCAGGAGCTCGACGGCACGGTGGAGCCAGAGAGCGATGCTGGCAGAGCCGAAACGCTGCCAGGCTGCAACCTCCGCTGCCTGCCCAAGCGGAGCAGACGTCGGATGAGCAGCCATCCGTGGAGGAGGAAGCACCGGACGGTGACAGCCATCCCCCAGCCGGGGACGAGGAGCCGCCCGAGGCTGACCCCGGCGCCGCGCCGGAGCAGGGAGATTTCCCGGAGATAATTAACGAGAGCCCAGAGGTGGCTGATCTCCCTGCAGAGGTGCCGGCGGACGTCATGAAAGACTCAGATATTTTGGAAATTGTTGAACAAGCCCTGGAGTTCAACCAGGAGCTGGTGATGGGGGTGAGGGCAGTCGAGGGTGGGCAGCGGCATCCCGGCGGGACCGAGCTACCCCAGGACACCGGGGAAGACTCCTCGCCCGCCTCATTCAGCGAGGAGGAGCCGACGGTGCAGGAGGTGCGCGCCGATGCCGCACCGGGGACGGAGGCTCCGGG